TCCTAGTGTCGATGCGAGGAGCCCCTAGTAGCTTCTTGTTCCTAGTATATTATATTCCAGTCACATGGAGTGGTTGAGTATGGAATCTTCATCTTCTGAAAAGTGGGTGGAGCGGATAAACCACGGGGTCTGATGACCGTGGCAGGACATAGACACCAAGATATCCAAGATGCTAAATGCAAATACTATTTTCCAGCATTTTCTGACTGATTTGACTAGCCAACCTGCAGATCCAGTCAGTTGAGTCCAAAGCATGGATTCAATCACCAAGCCATGTGAGGCATGATCACTTCTTGATCGAAGATTTGACATGGACAGTAGTATCAATTCCTTAGATTTCTGTATGCACTGTTCGTCGTTGGGTTCCATGAGCACAGTAGAGCCCTGCATCCTGTATCGTAACTCTGGACGCAGGTGTTGCCCTAGGATTGGCATGAACATGCATGAACCAAGTTCCCCAGGCGAGGACCTCCAAGCTTGGTGGTCCTGGCAACCACCAATGCTGACCGTTGGGACGGACCTGTTGCTTCATCTAGCTGCATGTGTTGGGAGACATCATCTTGGGAGCCAGCCTTTCTGTAAAGAACAGTTTTTTGGAGCGGAGCTCCACATTAGTTTGGTACCTTCCCTCGGCACTTCGGAACATCACACCAACCAACTGCCGACCCGAAAGCCCGCAGTCCGTCCTCCGTCCCGAAAGCCACGAAAAGGACGCCGGAGACTCCTCGAGTTCAACATCGCCAAGCGAGAAATGGAGGACCGTCCGCTTCAGCGTCACATATAGCGTCACCATCAGCTTCTCTCGGAACCTGAAGGGAGAGAACTTGGGGGCAAAGCGTTGAGGTTGTGAAGAAGATATCTATCTATCTTGAATGAAGGTGTTGGACGTTCTGGGATGCCAACGCCAACGACGATCACATCGATTTTTTGCGGCGCACACTGTGGCACCGATGGTGAGGAATGAACCGGGTGAACAAAGGCCCCTCGGTGGCCAACGTGTGTCCTCCGCGGCCTGGATTCCATCCCAAGAGCAATCATCACGTTAGGTTAGTCCCGGTATTTAACTCTTTCTTCGCTCGTGGGAAAGGCTGCATCACTGCATCGGGAACATGAAATAAAGAGACATACCCTCCTCAGGGCTTACATAGAAAGTGATCGAGCACCGCTACTAGGAGCTCCTGGCATTTTGACTATAGGATCAAGAAGAGACCTTTAACAATATCCCTTTTTATACTTCTGGAATGATGGTTTTCCTCTACGAATCAGTGTTCAGGGTCCGGATCGCTTTGGGTTTCGGGGCTTTCATTACGCCCCTCCTGGGCGAGGGTTTTGCTGCGGCGGCTGCAGGACTGCGTCAAAAAGAATCTTCATCCCACCGACCGACGCTGGGAGAAATCAATTAAAAGGAGATACTCCCTGACTCACTAATTAACATGGAAGTGGAAAATGACCCCTTGGAAGACTACCTACCTTCCTTTACAAACAGGTGGTTTTGCACTTTCATGGTAGTGCGTCGGAGTGTATGCATATTGTCAACATGCCAGTTGCTTTCGGTGATTGGATGGTGAACCGAACTGGGTGCCTATAGTCGTCGTTTTTGGGAGGCCAGACCACTTCAGACAACAGTACGCGGAATACAAGTTGCATAAAGACGGTACAGAAATATCTGCAATGCCGCGATGCCCTTTGAATTGTGAAACCGTCCCCTTCACTTTTTGCTATAGCCCTACGGCCCCCCGGTTGGAAGTAGTAACCAGATCATGCGCGTCTCCAGGACGACCTCTTCCGACAAGACGCCTAGAAAACACACGGCCGCTACGGCTCGATCCCGCATCGCCGATCGGGAGGCGACCGATGTTCGGCGCTGTACGTTTGACATCCAAACATACAAAAGCATACAAAAGCCACCCACCGGGTCCGGAAAAGACGTTCGGAGTCCAGGGGTCACAAGACGGGGTGCTATCCATGGAGGTTAGGGGTGCTACTCCACTCACGTAAGGGGACTAAACACCACCCCGACATGTGACCCCTGGACTCCGAACTTTGAGAGAATCTTCCTGGTTGCACCCTGGCGCACGCCCCCGCGAAAAAAGCGATTGGACGTCAATGGACGTTGAAGGCCACAACTTGCAGGCCTCCTTAGCTTGCGCCTTGCGCTAGAGATTTTCTGATAGCCATCTATATAGAAGGTTTGAACCATTTAGGTGCCAAAGGCGCTTTTTCCAAGGCAAATATTTAGCGGCGCAGTCTCAGTTGGAATCTGCCAAGTTGTCCTTCCACGAGGCGACGGACGGGCGAGGCATCGGCGCGAGACGGACTTGGAGGCTAACCAGAGGTCAAAAGGCCTCATATGGATATGGACCTTAACAAAAAGGTAGAAAAGCGAATCCCTTACGAATGTACAAAACCATTTGTATCTTTCTTTGGGGGGACCAGTATATGGTGTACGTATGATTACGTATTAGTATGTCATGAATACGCCCCCACAACACAAGTTTGGAGGGCGTATTATTCCAAAGTCCTTTTGACCTTAAGAGGTGTTCAACCGACGATTTGATTCTTGGACACTCTTGGCAGGTGTTGGCATGGGAGAACATCAAGACCTGTGTTCGGAAATACGGCGAGGACCTGTTGAGAACACCAATGACTTGTGATTTTTAGTGACTGTTACTGTAACATATGGCCTTTCTGCGCCTTCGATCCTTCGATCGCCTTCGATCGCCTTCGATCCGGAACGACTCACGGCTGCGGCGCACGATTCGGTTCACGACTCACGACCGAAGCGGTCAGGTGGACAAGCACATCTTCGAGTGGCTCTACATCCTCGAGGAGACTTCAACACATGCGAGCCATGCGTTTTGGGGTCCAGTTCCGTTTTAAGGTAATGTGAAGTGTTGAGCAGTTAATTCAATGAAGAAGAGACTGAAACCGGATTTCTTTGGGAGACTTTCACACCAGAGGGCCCAGGGAAGACCATTGACCATTGGTGGCCTTGACGTCTTCGGCTTTCGCACGAAAAACACGAGGATTGATACCTTGGATTCTAAGATTCTAAGAGCAATGAGTGATTGGGTTACTAGGGCCTTAGACTACAAAACCAACGCAACATGTTTGTTAACAATTTGAACCATCTTTGAAGGCTCCTGTTTATCTACCGAAGACTCGCAAGGTTGTGGACCACGTCAGGTCCGCCAACAGATGGGCCGTTTGTTGCCAACGATCACTGCATGGACCGTGTGGTGGGGCTTGGTCCAATCTTTTTTTTCCAGGAAGACCAACCCCCAAAATCCCCAAAGATGTAGACTTTTGGATTCTCTTTGGACCTTGAACATGGGTCTCAACAAAGAGGGTGACCGTCTCAAAAAAAAGTAGGCATCAAGTCGGTGATTGACTGAGGGTAACCGTCCTCCCTTTAAAGATTTGGGTACACAAAAAGGGACCAAAAGCGCATTGTGTGAGTCAAAAGCATGCTCTGAACTGAACGTTAACGCTCAGGAGTATAAAGGTGATATTCTGGACAGTTGTCTTCAGACCTTGAAGTATCTCCAGTATGAATTCTTCGCCACCTCAGTGCCTTGGACTGCTCGGGCAGTGCGGGTGCCCCATGGGCGGGCTCAAGAGCCCTTGCTCTTGGAAAGCAAACAGTTTTGAACAGGAAGTGGGACGGCATGTGGCTGAGCGTGCATGTGGTGCCCAAATCGCACCATACCAGATGTGCATTTGGAAGTCTTTGGAACCATGCAGTGCTTCATCCAACACCAGGCTCCCCAGCTTGGCAGCGCTTGCTTCCTTCCTTCCCCCCTTCCTTCCGCAGCTGGAGAAAACGACTCAAGGCTCACTCCATCAGTGGCGTGCTTCCGGCACGGATGGAGTTTCGGCCCATGGTGGAGATGACGCCCGACCACTTGGAAGCGCAGGCGTGGCTCCTGTTCCGCAGTTGGGCCGGCAGGGCATTGGCCTCCGAAGCATGTGGTTTTCTATATACTGTGTGTTTGTGGTTTATAAAGAAGGAGGAGTCATGCTCGGTACTTGAAGTCGGGTCCAGTTAGGTGTATGAGTATAGCTTCTTTTGGGGATTGATAGGGGAGGCGTGCCAAAGGTTTGGAAACCTCGGTTTTGTGTCTGTCAGCCCCATTCGGCCCCTTTCAAAATCGTTTGGAGGTTCCACGATCTTTGTGATGTTGTATGACCCAATTGTTTCCAAAGGGCAGGTGAAACTCGGCCGCCCAGGTAAAGTATTGGAAAGTACCTAATTTCGTGGTTGATTTTACTGATTCTTTTCATTTTCTTTCAACCGACTAGCGCTGTTGAACCACCCTAGCTCAATTGCTCCCGCAGCATCCCGCAACTGAAATTCCTGAAGGGATAAAGCCAGCAAAGAACTGATCAGATCAAAAAAGACATACACGCCTAACATATCCTAACATATCCGGTGTTAACTTTGAGTGCGAACTCTGAATTCATAGCACCGGACCAGACCTCGTTGTTAGGCGGCTGGCTCTCCAAGTTTACCCAATCGGGTGTTCCCAAGCCGATCAGCTGAGCGCCGTGGAGTTCCCGAGCCAAACTCGTGTCAGGTGGAGATGGCTTTGCAAGAGGAGGAAGAGAATCCAGACGAGGTGCTCGGTCGCCGATGTTCGCCGCCAGCGTCCATCCCAACGGTCTGAACGGAGTGGTTAATCTGGAGTGCTGACAGTTTGAGCAGCATTTCCTGTTGGCTTTTGGCACCTCCCACACCCTGCGCTCCGGACGGCTCACGGTTTGAAGATGGATACAGTCTTTGAAAAAATCATGGAAGTGGATGGCATGGCGCGTTGGATGGTTCTTCTCGTTTACGAACAGGGTGGTCATCCACTTGCACGCTAGTGACTTGGAGTGTAAACATCAGTTGTGAACTGTTGGATCGTTTCTAGGTCCATAATACTCTTGGTGGACATTGCACAGAAATGATGTCGCTTGTTCCGGGTGACTGGCTGGGATACCAAATAATAGGATAATCACTTCTGAAAACTTGGGAGAACCGATCACTTTGGAGGAGGTCTGATATAGTTTGCCAGTAGGTTGGAGGCCATCACTAGTAGAAACAAAGAAAGAACAAACACCAGGGGTCACAAAGGGGTGCTATCCATGGAGGTTAGGGTTAGGGGTGCCCAGCTACTCCACTCACGTAAGGGGACTAAGCACACCACCCCTTTGTGATCCCTGTTATGTTTCACCTCTCTTCCCCCTTCCACAGAGTGACCCCAAATAGGTCGTCACCTTCACTTCCGTTCGGCGGCGCACTGCCTCCGCGCTCCGCGATCCGCCGCGTCCAACGTCGACGCGGCGTGCCGGTCGGTGAGATCCGGATGTGGTCGTCGATGGGTGCAGGTTGGTTAAGTCCAAAGGGTCGAGTTCACTACGGTCATCCAAGGAGAGCAAGTTCTTCCAAGGATTGGACATGACTGGACAGATCATGTACTAGTGTAGACTCGTGATTGGCAACCCCCCTCGTTGGAATTGAACATCCTCTTCATATGGGGGCCGAAATGTCATCTAAGAGTCCACATTCATTAGCATATATACGATATTATAGATAATATACAATTAAAAAAAAAAAAAAAACATATACCAGCACCACGGGAAAGGGTGTCCATTAATAGCCCCTTGACCTCCAAGGGGTGTCCATTCACCCCCCCTGTGGGGTCCAGGTATACACGGAACACATTTGCCTCTGTGAGCCCCACGTTGTGACCCGCCACCGTTACGCTCCTTCAGGTCGTCACGGACTTCTCTGCTCGTCTCATCGAAAAGTTGGCCAAGGACCTTTCGGACGGAGTCAGTCACCAAGGGAGAAGAGTCAGTCACGTGTGGGTTTCTGGCGTTCGAAAGAGGTCTGCTCGTTCAGCGCCCGGTCCAGGACAACAAGAATAAACCGGGAGAAGGCCCAGACGAAGCGAAGCGACCCGGGCGGAAGCGGCGGAGTTGCGGATGGAGGATGGAACCTTTTGGGTGCAAAGGGGGTGAGGAATGGGATTTTGAACATCATTTTCGGATTGACTCCCAAGATATGTGCAGTCCATCGAAACCATCAAATGTTCGACAGGCGCAAGAGGCGCCTTAGACTTCTGGGTTGGGTGAGTGTTGACTGGTGCTTAGTGCTTAGTGACGTTTAGTGCTTCCACATGGTCTTGAGGGGCCGTTGGAAGGCACCGCGGAGCTCAACCTGGACATGAGCGGTGGATGTCCGGTGCTGGGTGTGTTGTGGTACCTTCTTCATGTGGCCAAAGCATCGACTTGAAACAACCCTTACTCACCTCTTGCAAGAGACTCTTGAGGAGAAACTTTGCTGCAAGGTGGATATCAGCGGCATATAAGTGGCACAAGCCACAGGTCCACCGATATGCCAATGTGCATGATTCATGTCTCCTCTTGCAGCTGCTGCCGCAGGCTTGGATTCCGCCGCCAGCGAGGGGCCTGCGGTGCCGGTAGATCCCTTGTCCTTGTCCTCGTTGCTGTCACAGGGCTTTGAAGAGGGGCCGGCAAGACAAGCCTTGAGAAAGTTCAAGCGCCTGGGTGCAAATACATCGCGGCGAAGACATGCGTTTCTTCAAGTCCAGTGGGGCTTTGACCGGAAAACCACGTCTCTTGACTCTTTGGGTTTGTCATTCTTGTTCCACGTTCCAAGGTGGCAGTTTGTTGCCAACTGGTAGACCCACCATTTTGCCACTTAAGGCTGTAATGTCCAACTTAATTTCATCATATTTCATCTATTTTGTGGCGGCATTATATTTGGTATATAATGTTTACTGTAAGATTTTTGGTTCAGTGGCCACTTGCTGCTGCTAAGTCCAAGCCAAGTCAAGGCAAAGTATTACATAGTATTTTTACTTTATATGGTCCAAGTTGGACTTAGCTAAGCTTAGCCAAGTCGGGTCCGAGCAAGTAGGGTAAGGCCTTTGATGAAAAGCCGCGTCTCGACCGATGAAAAGTCCCAGCGCCGGGCGGTGCGTGCGCCCCGGGGTCCGAGGAACAACACTCAGGCGGCCTTGGACTTCCTCATTGGAGGCGCTTCTCACGGGTAAAATGTATAGATGTATGACTTATTTACCTTCTAATGAACAGGGGTGAATGTAGGCATATATGGCAGTCCCATGGATGGTTTGGACCTTTTTTCTCAACACCAGGGTCTACCTTATATACGTACGACCAATGTTGGCCATGGGTTGGCTCAGTTATTCGGATTGGTGCGACCGAGAATGAGGGAAGTGAAAGGACTTCCTCCAATGGAGACTTCTTCGGTTCTTGGCCTTTACTAGTGTCGGCGCTTCTTAGATTAGCAGCTATAGGAGACTGTTTTTTTCCCCATGCTACGTTTCACATCGTTTCACTACTGAGTGAATTCCAACTTTCTCTACCAGACGTTTCCTTTCCGTTAAGTTCAAGAAATCGTTTGCTTCGGACCGCGGTCGAGACGGCGGAGGACTCGGCCCCAATGTGGATGCCAACTCAGACATGACCCATGGGACTGGCACTAAAATACAGAAACTCATGCAGTTACCTGATTAGAACAATATAAGGGGTGCGCTATTTAATTGTTCGCAGGTATACCCCTGAGTTAGTGAAATAATATGGAATAATGATTCTGTCCTACCCAGAAGTTGGAAATATGTCTAAAGATGTCTAAATGGCCTGGAATATATATTGTTATCATGTGCAACCATCATGGAATAATAAACTGACTTTCACATTCTGTGTGTGAATGAGTTCTGGATTATTTTTGAAATCCATGTCCAAACATAGCAGAATATTCCAAAATATTTCACGGGGTTGCACGGGGGGTAAGGTACCCCCCACAGAACAATGCCAGGTGGACAGGCTGAGGAGCAGGAAGAGGAACCAGTCCGCATGCCAACGACGGTGCCCCGTGTGCAGAGGCTGAAGGCACACAGCGGTTCCGTCCGCGCACAGCGCACAGCTGGATGGGACAGGTAGACTGACGGGTGTAAATGAGGGTGGTTGGATCTTGAATCTGAAGTGAATCTCCTCCTTGCCCGGTTTTTGTTGTTTTCCTTTTTTTAATGATGCACGCATGGTTTGGATTTGGTGTGTCGGAATGTTTCGCTACGGAGATGGTGGATTTGTTCGTGGATTTGCCCAAAGGGTTCGGATGAGTCCGCGAAACCAAAAGGTCTTCGTGGGAGGACTCCGCGTCCACCGTCGCTCGGGCAACCACTCCGCCGTGAGGAACGACGGAGAGCACAGCAGGCGCGGCGCAAGGAGGAGGAGGAACGCCGGCGGCGAGACGCGGAAAGCCCCGAACGAACGGCCACTGGGCCATGGTGTTCGTGCTGGAAAGCGGCGAAGACAGTGGGACATGATGGTGGGACATCGGTTGAAGCCACTAAAATGGAGCCTTTTGATGCAATTTACTGTACCTCTGAGTGTAAAAAAGATATACAATTATTGGATCACTCCCTAGGGTGGTTCTTGCATAACCCTTGAATTCGATTATTTTAAGTTGCATGCACCACCAGATGTACCTAATGACCTACTACTGCGCAATCAAAGAGATATAAAGCGATGTTTAAACACAAAAACACATATACATTCTTACATCAAAGTGACACAGACACACACACACACACATCCCCAAAACAATGCCTTTAGTGGGATCCCAGCACTTATGCGTACAACATCATCTCCAGCTCAAAAATCCATGGTGATCCATGGTGTGCAAATATCAAAGTGACCAATGCCTGTGGTAGGGTCCCATCATTTTCAACTGCTCAAAACCCATATGAGATGGTCATAGAGTCATAGATTGCATGTTGTTTGATCGCTTTGGAGGGACCCGACTCACCAAGCAGTGGGGCATCACCCTTCAAACTGACACCACTTTCGTGTTCGACCTCGCTGAGGCGAAGAGCTCGCCTCGGGAGGCTGAGTCGAGGTCGCCTTTGCGAGGCGAGATGAACGCGGCGCGTCCATCGTCCGCTGCTGTGGATTTGCTGGACTTCCAGGAGGCCCACCGTGACACGGGACGGGACTGGTGACGATGGACCGTGGCAAGGAAGCCGTTTTGGGAAGTGAAGTTGAATGCTTGAGTCATTTGGGATGTGGGGATGATTGGGGATGGGTGGTATGGGAGTTCAAATATGATCTCGACATATCTCGACTTATATCTACACACACACACATAGTGATATGTGAGAACTGCGATGACACAAGTATAAACAGTCGATGACATATGTGCACGGTTTTGGCCCAGGGTCTACTTATGTCTATACTTGTGTTGGTATATGTCCACTCCAAAATCTCATTTTCGATGAATCAACACACCGACCTTTTTCCCCATGGGCTGGGAAACGGTCAATGGCTATCATTCCTTTTGGAGCCAAAAGTGGCGGTACTCACGCACCACCTCTTGCGAGCTGCACTTGCCACATGTTAGGAGGCCTGTCCACCAACTTCTTAGCCCTGTTCATCTAAACAGGCAGTTATAAGTTAGGTTTATATCTTGGGTAGTATCTTGGGTTTGGTCCTACCTACATCCGTCAGTCAACAAGAACATGATCGATAGAGATGGATGGCCGTCCCGGCGTCCCGGCCCGGTCTGACGATCTCTTCGACCCAAACCGGCCCGCGCCCACCACGACCTCTCACCCGACCGAGATCGGTTCTCCCAAGGAGACGAAGGCCTCTCCAGCCTCTCCACCCGACACCGGAGCACCACGCCCAGCGGGGGACCTCTTGGACCTCGCACCCGGAAGTGGCGATTTGCTGGACCTGGAGCCGCCGGCGCCGACGGACTTTTCCAAGCAGATCGACTCCTGGTTTTGGTCTTTTTTGGTAATTGGGGGGGGGGTGATTGATGTGATTGGGAGGGAGAGGATTTTTCTGAAACAGGGGGTGGATCTTCGAAAGATTGGAGAGGTCCAGGAGTCCTGGCAGGCTACTATTTGGTTGCTTGTTTTTAAATGATTGCTCAATTAAACCGCTCACATTGAAGTGGTTTTTAGGGTTGGAGAGATGTTCATAGTGAGACTGATCGAAGAACCCCACCCCTCAAAATATTTATAACCACTGAGTGTCTTTCAGATGATCCGTTTGGGGTGGTATTTGGTGTATGTTGGGAACCAATTTTGCCACCATTCTTCGGGATTACGCGAAGGGGTTGGAGTGTGAAATCATTAATACGATGGTAGATGGACCCTCCTGTCGGGGTGTCCTGGCTGAACTACCCCACACTACCTATAGAGTATAGGCTTCCAGACAGGGCACCCCGAAGGTCGGAGGGTCCTGGTCGATGGACCCCATGCATCTCGGTGGAGGCTTGGCGTTTAGGAGGCATTCACCGAACCATGGGGAGCACGGCCAAAGGGCACGGGGAGGCGGATGGGTCGGTTGATGGTTGTTGGGGGGGCCTTTTGGGGTCAGTTCATTCTGCATTCACTCATACCAGGGTCATCCTGGACATGGGTGTCAGACGACCCTACCTTACAGGCCTCCAGACAGGGCACTGGAAGTGCTAGGTATGAGATGTTATGAGTCCTGAGCGTTGCTGATGTGCTTCAGCCTTCGTCTTCGGGTTCGGAAGACCGATAGCAGACGCTCGAGATCCGTTGGGACGATCACGATCGCAGATCCAGCTCGTGACGGTCGGAATTCAAACCCTGCATCCCAGGTTTGCCGTTGACTGGCGGGCAGAACAGTGGGTGAAGTCGAAGGTCGCTGGTGTGACACCAGGGCTTTCCCCAAAGCGAAGTCCGGCCTTCCATCGGCAGCCACACGAGCTCACCAGCGGGTCCACAAATTAGCTCCAGTTTTAGAAGGGACATGTGATATGGTATGGTGTGTTCAAACATTGTTCAACTTTTAAAGTTTAAAACTTTAAACTTTAAAGCCTTTTGTGGGGCTAGACTTTTTAGTTCCCCACCACATCAGCGAGTTTTGTGTTGAAAGTGTGAGGCCCCCTGCCTACTGTGTGGCAACACAACCAAGCATACTTCACGTGCCCCTCGCTCAGGAGACCTTACCTTTGCCGGAGCAGATTACTTTAGACCTCTCCAAGTGTGAGAAGGGGCCAATTGGCCCTGGGGCCAGTGGGGGTTATGCTTGATTTGCATGACCTTGGAGTTTGCCCGCATCGACAAACAGTGACCTATGACTGACTCAAGAACATATGGATGATCGTCCCATTATTTTCCCCTTAAACATTGAAATGCTGGTTGAAAAAGTATGACACATCGAGTCAGAGTCCTTGCTCACATTCACAGCGAGGTCATGAGCTAGGGCAGGCTCCAATGAATGACACCAATTCTCGTGCGAGGACCAAAAGAGAGAAGCACAGGGCTTCGTGTGGCAAATGATGGGCCAAAAAGGACTAGCATAGATTTTTGTGAAGTGTTGACAGAGAGAATCTACAGGAAGAGAATCTGCTTTTCAATCGGTCTATTTGCAGTTCTGAGACTTGGTGATGTCGGGGGAGTGTTTGGTGGATGTTGGTGGTCTCATGGCATTTCTTCAAAAATGTCACAGATTCTAGCAGCTGATTTTTCTGGGTGGTCCCCGGCCTACATTTTGGTGCATCAATCTTAAATCCATGGTCCTGCAATCCCGATTGCACAGTACTGTACACGTAAAATTCGCAAGATCAAGTCGCCAAAAAGAGTGTTCAGGAATCCAAAGGCCTGGCGGCCAGCAGACATGAAATCATTAATTAGTGAGCACCAGGACACCCTAAGGGGTGTCTATTGATAGCCCCTTAGAGGTCAAGGGGTGTCCATTGACCACCCCGGCCCTGGTATGGTGTTTGTTTCTCTCCGCTTCTGCCGCCGGAGAGGTTTCGTGCACTTCCGGCCGGGCGAGCGCGTCATCATCCAGGGCAAAGTCCGGAGAGCGCGGCAGTGGTGTCCTGTTTTGCGACTCATTCGGCTTTTTTTTGCGACTTGTGAATGACAAGAGGCATTGGGACCAAGCGCCATGATCATTGGAAGTGATTACTACGGCCATTTGAAGTGTATGTTTTGGACTTGCCAAGGCTTTTGCCCCCCAAAAGTGGGCGCCACGAAGATGACCAATGAAGCAGCCACATGTTTTGTTTTATGGATTTTCCTTTCAATTCGGTTCCAACCATCTGATGACTTTGCAATCTCTCAATTCTTTCGACACGCATGCTGGCTCCAGGACCTCAAGGGGTGGATTCTCGGCTCGAGAATCGTTCGATGAACACTGTGCATGGAACTCACGGATGGTGATGGTGTTTGACCCCAAAAAGGCCGGTGACCGTCCACCCAGGTGACCGTCCTACCCACGACCGCGCGGCCATCCGACAGCCCGTCTTCTCGCGGTTTCGGAGCAGAAAGAACCCAGACACTCCATGGGACTGCCATATATGCCGATCAATTGACCCCTCAAACCACCCCTGGACGTTTCTCGGCAGTCCTATGGCAGTCCCAGACGGGTCGTGTCTGGGGAAGAAAGAACAGCGCCATCGACCGAGGTATGTGATCTATGCGGGCAGCGCTGTCATGGTCCTGGACAGTCCCACCGGCTCGGAGGTCGTGTCCGAGGCCGCCCGCGGGTTGGAGGTCGTTGGGGGTCGGGTAGAAGGGCACGGTTTTTGGAGGATGGGTTGGTGGTAGTGAATGGTTTCAAAAAGACAGAGATTTCAATGCAGTCTACGGTAGACCTGGATTTTCCAGGTCCGTTGGGAGAATGTAGACACCCATTGGCTCACAGGGTCATGATGGGTCATGTGTGTCCATTGATGTTGTACTCCATTTCTATTACTGCTGGGACTTTTAGGGGTACATTGTGTTTTTGTGGAGAGGCCGTGCATACGTGAATGCATGGTTTTTATCTCCAGGACTGTGGAGAATTCCCTTAGGTCGGACGAACGTTTAGTCAATACTAGTCAACCAGTGCAGAGTACTGTACACGGGTATAACGACTATATAGATGACTATAGTGTCCCGCTGGCCCAACCAGGGTTATTGATCCTTAGTCATGTAGTCGTTAAAGAATGCAATTCAGAAGGGAAGATCAACAAAAGTCACTTAAATCACACATGTCCAAACCATGTGCGATGTTTGTCATTTTCATGTTGTGTTTGTCCCATTACCTGTCACAGTCGGAAAACAATTACACTATGTTAATTGAGGAAAAGGCCTTTATAATAGTATCATCACGTACTGGTATTAGGATAGGCCAAAAAACACATTGCAACGGCATTTGCTTGCCTTAGCCAAAGGCAAATCTCCTTAGCCAAGGACGATGGACAGAGACATGGTTCCAATTCATCCAGTTCTCGTGGGCCCGGTGGGCTTCGTCCAACCTTTCTCCAGGTCCAGCGGCCTGGCTGCTTCGGGGAGCGCTCCTTGTTGCGAGGCGAGGAACGCGAAGAACACGGTGGCGGACGTTCCGTGAAGCGTGAAGCGATGGCTCTAAGCATCTGAGCATGGAGCAAATGGCCCAAGGTTCGTGAGCAGATGGCCCAATGAAGCACCCAAAGGGATCCAAAGGGTTCGGAGTGGTGTCCATTTCGGTCTCAATTGGGGTGGCCCAAGGTTTCTCTTGCAGAAAAGGGGGGAACTTACTTTTGAAGTGAACGTTCAACTTTCCATTGTTTGACAAGTAGCTAGCTCTACTAGCTGTTGTGTTTGTGTGTATATTGTTTCTATGTTTTTGGAGAAGGGAAGGCAGGTGCTGCAAGCAGTACTCCTGCTTGTGCTCCTGCACTGGTGATCAGCAGGGACAAAATCGTCCTAGGAACTGCTTGTCTCGTAGCCAATGCTTTGCAGCTTAGCAGGCTTAGCATGTGGCAGCTGTACTATTTTGATGAGGGCAAGTATCCACATGAATGCCTTTTTACCAAAGCCTTGTTGGCGGGCTTATTTGGGTGCACCTCTTCATTTGTTGGGTGTGTTCTTGTTTTGCTGCAACTGCATCACAGTCGGACATGTATCACCTGGGTACCACCCGATACAGAGGCCCAACCTAGGGCTCATGGGGCGGTATTAAGGGGGCATGAAAGCTTCAGACACTTCTCCTTCAGATGCTCAAAGTCCGCAAGGATTAGAGAAGCAAGTTCAAGTGTGTGCTTCCAGGAAATTGGGGGGCAAGTCATCGCCCATCAATTTCTCTAAGATCCTGAAAACATCTTCCAAAATCATCACGGCTCGGCGAGAGATTTGGCAATCAGAACTTTGGAGAATGCATGGGTATGTCAATTCCTGGGTCATCCTGGTAAATTGATGTAAACATGCACCCCCCGGGTCTGTGACCAAACCGAGCCTTGGCCCCGGGTCTGCTTCGCGTTGAGGGGATGCTGCCTATGATGTGAACGTGGACGCGGGCCCGGAGGGCATGACCTGCCGCAAAAGCAGCAATAGATCCCAGGCGCTCCATGTATGCCATATATGATATGCCTACATTGACCCCTCAAACCACCCCAACTGATCGGCATATATGGCAGTCCCATGGAGCGTTTGGGGATGGGAACAGATGGGACGGAATATGACGGAATTCAATGGAAAGCCCGAGGCGATCGAAAGGTTTCTTAGCGTGGACCGCCTCTCTCGTTGGTCGTCCGAAATCGATTTGGGCGTCCGATGTGTTGTCGAGTTTGAGGTGTGGAATCGAATTGAAGGATTAAAGCCATAAGACTTCCATCATTCCAAGTGGTTGTACCATGGTTTGACCATGGTTCTACCGTTTGGATTGAGGGAACCAGCCACGATTCACAAGTCTAAGTTCAACTTGGCTCATCGAGTTGCCCATTCTTTGGAGCACCGTTGAGTTGCCCAAACCGTTGCCCACCTTGGCCGCGTGAACTCCCGAAACGGCTCCTTGGCCCCGTCCACCCGATGTCCGATGCCTTCGAGCCTTCGACCCTTGGATCTGTCCGTTCTGACCTGCAACAGTGCACACGTCTCACGAACAAGGCCATCCACGGAGAGACGACCGACCCAGGGCTTGCTCACCCCTGTCCGAGAGTTACGAGTCCTAGCGTCAAAAGGTGGCGGAAACGAGATGAGATGCCATGAGCGTTTTCCCTACCCAGTGTGGTTTGTTCAGCTTGCTGAACACTGGTCGACCTACCCAGTGTTCAGCTTCGTGAAGCCGCCTTTTGGGGGGAATTGGTTTGGGGGGACAGTTGTTGTGGGAGTCTTGTGGGTTTCATATTGAGAAACCAAGGGGCATCAAGTGAAGCTACCTATCCATGGGGTTCACCTGCACTTGTCCCGCCGGGCTCGGCACCTCGACGGCCTGACCTTCCAAAGGCCTGACCTTCAACGGCGAGAGCATCCGGATGCTCCTGATGCGCCCCATGGCTGGTTTTCATGTGAAGCAGACGGAGGTTCACCCCACTCGAAGAATCTGCAGGGCTGTCCATATGGCCATTATGGGGTCGGGTTCTCTCCAAAGCAGGGGTCCAGACCCTCATTGCCACCCTTTTCAACTATTTGAGGGCCCGGATTCTTAGGGTGGCAGCGGGCGTCAAAGTTTCATCAGACAAATTTCAACCATTTCACGACACTGAATCGGACAATTCAATAGCTTTGATGACCTCTCTCGCATGTAAACGCCCCGCAAAAGATGCTGAACACGTGCGAAGACTTGGTTGGTCGTGAGGAATCTACAACGAGTCTCCGGGATTCATTCCAGCCACTTGGGAGCACCGTCCAACCCGCTCAGAGCGCTTGGACCGCGGCGGCTTGAAATGGGCGGTTTGAGCGCGGTGAAGGCGCGAGCGAAGAGCGGGTTCATGCGACGAGAAGGGACGGAAGGTGAGATAAGGTGAGGGATCTTAGGGGGAAGACCTCATGGTTTTCCTGTATATCATGGTATACGGCGTATATCTATTTATTGTTTTGGGGGGCATTGATTGTTTTGAGAACGACCTAGTGCCATTGAACCAGTTGCTTGTAAGCCCTCAGGGATGTTTCCCACTCATCATAGTCAACTGATGGTGGGATATGTAATACACATATGCAGTACATATCACGCAGATTGTACGGATGATATTATACATCATAAATATTACACTATCTTACACATATCCCATCCCTTTGGTTTGAGTATAGGCATAGCTGATTACACACCGCCGCTGGCCGT